ACACCCTCAGCACCAACAGCACCTCCCAGCACTGGCACACCCAGCCACGCCACCGCCTCCTCAACCAGCTCCAGCACTACATCCACCGCCTCGAGCACTGCCGTCCCGACAGCGCACGCCTCTTCAAAGGACCCCGCAACCCCCTCACCACCATCAACAAGTACTTCAGCGACATCCACCTCTTCCTCCATGCCCACAACCACAGCGCCTGCGCCTGGGAACACGTCCGCCTCGAAGCTCAACCCTCTTTCCACCACCTCCACAACCTCACCCGCGCCATGCGCCGACAGCCCAAACACACACACACAGCTCCACCCACCCCCACAACGCCCCTCTAAAACCCACCACCCGCACACACCTCTGCCCTCCCGCCTCACCCGACACAACACACACCGTTCACACAACGCACTCGTGCCCTACAACCCCTCTCCCCTATTTATTTGCACAAACACACGGATTTACCTAATTTTTTATTTATTGATCTATTTATTTATTTCTCTATTTATCCACGTATTTATGACACACCAAATAAAGACCTCTTACAAAACATGTCCCACTGCCTCTTGTCTCACCAGCACAGAAACCACCCTCTGGGACACAGGGAAGTCACCTCCACTCAGCACCTACACCGAGCCCTGACCCAAACAGGGCTTTCGGCACATCCCCTGACCCCTCTTCTCCCTGCTGCCTCCACAAGGACCATCCTCCAGCAACCTCTTTCCAAAAACAATGCCAGGGGCTTGCCCACACCACACAATCACAGAAGCACAAAATCACAAATGAGGGAAGGCTGCCAAGCACTGCTGGACCTCATCTGCTCCAGCCACCCTCCTCCAGAGCACCCTGCTCAGCATTGTGCCCACACACATCCCAAATATCTCCTCCACACAGGGACACTCCACAGCAGCACAACCAAGCCTCCTCTAGAGCTCAGCCAACTGCACGCCGCACACCGCTCCTCACTGCTCTCCACACCCAATTCTTGGCCTGGCCCAGCTGGTCGCTCCTTCACCCACACACTGCTCCATCCACCCAATCCATGGATCTCCAACTTAACACACAAGGACGCCCCTCTCAGGGACACTGTCAAATGATTCCCCTATGTCCACACAAACCATCTCACTGCTCCGCCCCCATCCAACAATGCTGCAGCC